CCGCAAAGACGAGCTCTACAACTTTCAATTAATTTACAAAATCGATTAACTTAGTACGAAAAAATGTTTTCTTTGGATGAACAGTAGAAATTTTTCAGATTCACACTATATTGGATTTACATAGTGATTTGCGTTACGTTACACTATGTTTATTCTTCTGTTGACTGGCGGATTATCAATTAATAGATTAAATAACTAAATTTTGTTTAATATTTTTAGCAAGCAACATGGGTAGATGATATACAATAATTTCAGATAAATATAGCAAATTCATACGATCACATATACTATCATGTGGAGTATCATTGGAATCTTGAAATATTACCTACCTAACTTTCAATTTTTTTTTCAAAGTAAGTTAAGAAGTTTTATATTAATTTATTATATATTAATTAATTATATATAATGTTTCTATTTAACATTTAATATGTTTTATAAGTTAAAGAAATAAACCCAATTAGAGAATAGTGAATATAAAGTAAATAGAATAACTCAAGATACAACTACCAGTGAATATATAATAGTTGTTGATAAATTTTATTCTAAAAGACTATTCGAATAGAAAATATAAAAATTGCAATAACATAATCCTTTGCCAGTATAATGCAAACAATGTGACTCTTAAAGAACAAAATCAAGAATAGGTAAGCAGAATAAAAAAAAATTGATGATCACATCAAAGAATTTCAACTTAAAGCCACTGAATATAAGAGTATAATTGGATAGATTTCTTTTAATAGATTAGTTAATTGAATTTGTTTAATATTTTTAGCAACATGGGTAGATTGTATATGAATAATTTCAGGTAAATATGGTGAATTCATACAATCACATATGCTATTATGCAAAGTATTATTGGAATTTTGAAATATTACCTACCTAACTTTCAAATTTTTTTTCAAAGTAAGTTAAGAAGTTTTATATTAATTTATTACATATTGATTAATTATATATAATGTATCTATTTAATATTTAACATGTTTTATAAGTTAAAGAAATAAACCTAATTAGAGAATAGTGAATATAAAGTATATGGAATGACTCAAGATACAACTACTAATGAATATATAATAGTTGTTAATGAATTTTATTCTAAAAGACTATTTGAATAGAAAATATAGAAATTGCAATCAACATAATTCTTTGCCAGTATGGTGCAAACAATATGACCCTCAAAGAACAAAATTAAAGATAGATAGACAAATGAAATAAAAAAAAATGATAACCACATCAAAGAATTTTAACTTAAAGCCACTAAATATAAGAGTGTAATTGGATAGATTTCATTTAATAGATTAGGTAACTGAATTTTGTTTAATATTTTTAGCAAGCAACATAGGTAGATGATATATAAATAATTTTAGGTAAATATAGGGGTAAGTCAATAGAAAAGGGACTAATCATTTTTAGTAATTTTTTTTTTAATTTTTAAATTAAAATATCTCAACAACTATTTAATCAAAATTGTTAAAAATTTTTTTATTTTAATCTTGAAATTATATAGAATTAAAATAAAAAAAAAATTATTAAATTTAATAAGATAATTGCTAAGATATTTAAGTTTAAAGTCAAGAAAATCTTTACTTGGAAAAAATTTGACCCATTTCTATTGACTCCTCCCTATATGGTGAATTCATACAATTATGTATGCCATCATGTAGAGTATCCTTAGAATCTTGAAATATTATTTATCTAACTTTTAAATTTTTTTTTAAAGTAAGTTAAAAAGTTTTATATTAATTTATTATATATTGATTAATTATATATAATAATATAGATTATAACTGATATGATACAATTTGGTTTTACAAAAAAAAATTTCTCGTTAAGGCTATAGTAAAATATGAAGATGTGGTAGCTATCTTATTAGCTAATAAAGCTAATCTGGTATCATTATTATATTATTTTTGTTAGATAAATTTGATACAAAAGTTCTTGATACACTCTTACCTGCTATAAATATAATAATTGTAATCAGTAATTCTTCTAAACTTGTTGATGTTAAAGTGCTACTGAAAATAGTAAGTTCTTTAATTTTGTTATACATAATGAATAATATATATATTCTTAATTTATTTGTATATAATATTCTTTATTTTATAAAGATGTATTTGTGGCAGATACTGTTGCTTCTCTTAGTTTGACTAAAGGTTCAACTAAAGATATCTGTAAAATTTAATTGTTTTTTTTTTATAGTAGTATTAATTATAAATGCTTATATATATATAATGTCTTAAAATAATATACTAACACTTATATTATTAATTTATAATGCTTTCAATCAAAACCATAGCTAAAATCTTCCACTTGACCTCAAACCAGGGTTACAATTTCATGGTTCACAATCTTGGCAAAGTCAAAATTTTGTTGAAGTCAAGATTTTGTTGAAGTTGGAATTTTGGTGAAGTTGGGATTTTGGTGAAGTTGGAATTTTGTTGAAGTTGAGATTTTGTTAAAGTTGAAATTTTGACAAAGTCAGGATTTTGGCAAAGTCGAGATTTTGGCAAAGTCAAAATTTTGGCAAAGTCAGGATTTTGGCAAAGTTAGAATTTTGTCAAAGTCAGAATTTTGCCAAAGTCGAGATTTTGGTGAAGTTGGAATTCGTGAGGTTGGAATTTTGATAAAGTTAGAATTTTGTCAAAGTTAGGATTTTGTAAAGTCAGAATTGGTAAAGTCGAGATTTTGGTGAAGTCAGGATTTTGTTGAAGTTGGAATTTTGTCAAAGTCAGGATTTTGTGAAATCAGAATTTTGTAAAGTCAGGATTGGTAAAGTTGCAATTTTGGTGAAGTCAGGATTTTGACAAAGATAAAGAGAGTGTTTGAGATGATAGGTATAGTAAATTTGTTTCTAGATAGTATGTATACAATAACCATGATTGAATATCATAAATATCAAGTGATTGGAGTAGCTAAAGGTTATATTTGAAATAGGTATTAATAATAAGCATTTGTAAATTAATATGCAGGAAGTATAGGTTGGGGTGATTATTGTTGTTGTTATTAAGAGTCTTAATAAGATGACCAAGTTTTTTGGGCTCAAGGTAGAGTGCAGTACATAGAAAAGTTTATTTATAGTTATAGTTGCATTTTTGTATAATTTTGTTAGAGATAGTTCTGATTGTAGCTTGTATTATACAATGTTGAAGTTTGTGCCAAGTGGTGTTAATACTCTTCAAAGTATTTAGTGTAAGTAGAATGTAGCTTTGTGTAATTAATTGTGAGGTAAGCTTAAAAAATTCTTGCTATTGCTGACTAGTGGTGGCTTTATAATTAAAAATTTAGTGACTAATATTGATATAAAGATATAAAGGTTTGCTAAATGCATTAGAAAATGTTCAGAAAGTAGAAAGTATAAGGTAATTACTGAAAGTGCTTGTTTTGCTATTGTCAAGACTATAGAATAGAAGGAATTATATATTAAAAGAGTTAGTCCAGATATAATCAATTCTGCTAGAGTTTATATTATTAGACCAGGTATGTTGGGTGTTATTAAAATGGGTGCCAATGTTAAATATATTTGAGCAGTATAGAAAATTGATAAGTTTAAATCTAGATGATGAGCTAAGGATAGTGTTTTGTATATTAAAGTCACCAAGAATAATAGGCTAAAGATTAAGTTGCTGAGCTTGAAATATCTAGTTGATCATGGTGTTTTGTGTAAAATTGTAATAAGTAGAATTAGTTGAAGAAAGATAGACAGAAATTATGTAGCATTTGATATTGCTTTTGAAAAAGAGATTTAGTGTGATTGCTCTGCCAAGATGTATAAGGCAGCTATGGACATGAGGCTTAAGATAGTTACAAATCATAATAGCTACTCCTTCTATAGAGCTTTGAAAGTTGGCCTAGTAGTAAGTATAGAGGTTGTTATTGCTAAAAGATAGTTTGGTTTTGTTAAAGATTTTAGTCTCAGTAATGCAAGCTATAGAAATATTATGATTAATGCAGAAGTTTTGCCAGATCTGTCTTTTGAAAGCAATATTAAAGCCTCTAATATTGTGAGTAGCAATAGTGAGGTGAAAATCATGCAAGTTAGAATGTTCATGTTAGAAGTTATGGGTATGCAATTTGAGTAAAATGTATTTAAACCACTATAAGAGATCCTGAAAAGAAGATATAAAGTAGTTTGTGAGTATTTGATATTTATGAGAGAGAAATATGCCTCTATATAATTATCTTCCTTGTCTTTAATGTTGAGTATGGAGATTTTAATATACAGAGATAAGTTGTATAAGGGAAAGTCATGTTGAATGTAGTTAAGAAATAATTGTATTGTTTGGAGTATTCAAGTGGAGGTAGTTTGTAGTAAAATAAAAATTTGTTATAGCATGTTAGTGGATTAATAGGGCCAAGTTGCTCAGTTAATTGTGTTATTGTTTCAAGTTAAAAGTCAACAGGATCATAGTCTGTGTTAAATAAGAATTCATAATCAGATAAAGAGTAAGTAGAAGAAGTGGGTTGTTGAGAGGGTGATGTAGTGTATAGATCATAGAGGGCTAATAGTGTTGAAAATGATATTATAGAAGGGTTGTCTTCTATAGTATTCACCATATATCTAGTTTATACAGTTTCACAAAAGCTATGGTTCATGTCACCTATAGTCATCAAACAAATTTAAACAACTTTAAACAACAACTAGTTTTTTTATTAAAGTAAAATTAAAATTTTAACTGTAAAAATAATAAATTTAATACTTCTCTATCAAATTTACAGTTTATTTTTTTTAGTTATTTTTTATTTTCATAAGATATTAAAGTTAAATATTGGGCACTTTTATTAGTAATCATTAAATTTCAGACATCAATCATTTTATTTTATCCAATCAGCAAACAGAACTTGGTCATGTGATTGGTCAATTCGAAATACCAAGAAGTCGTGTAAAATATATTTTAAATACAATGCAATAAAATAAATTTATTAACCCGTCTCTTATATTTTTTACATATGAATTGGAATTATTTAACCATATAAAAATTGTTCCATAGCTTCAAGCTGAATTATTTTAGTCTGCTAGATAAATAAACAATTAAATAATTAGAAAATTTTTTAGGTGGTTCTAACTCTTATTTTAATAACATCCATTTATCTATTCTGCTTTGCTATATCTGATTAAAATAGAAAAAAAAATAATATATAAATAAATATATAAATAAATAGATAATCAAAAATAAAAAAATAAAAAAAATATTTAAAGATACTTATTGTAATATACAATACATGAGCATTACAAAGAAAAAACACGTAATTATTATTTAATTATTATTAGATAAGGAATTTAGGCTTTTCTTTTTGCTGGCGCCCATATATATTGCTAGCAAGACATGTGAATCTTCCATTTTCTATCTTATAAGTAACTTCCACATAACAATTAATAATATAAAATTTAAAACAAAGGAGACTTTATCCATTAAAAAATTTTTAATCAGTAGAATTGGTTTAATAATAACTTTACCTTCTACTCGATCATGTGATGGAATATGATTTTTGGTACAATTCAAAGGTGCTAACCTGAAAAGTAAAGTAATTAAGTATCATAGTCAAAAATAAAAATAAATTGATAAAACTAAAATAGGTAAAACACAAACAAGGCAGGTAATAACACAATATTAAAATAGGCAAATCCCAGATAAGGTGGTGTTAAAGCGTGTGAAAATAAAAATAAATGACATGGAAAAAATAGTTAGAAGATTATTAAAATAATAATACTTCCATTAATTGCCAAAAAGACTTCAAAGATAACGAATTAGTCATCGATCAAACAGTATATTAGATGTGATTTTCTTAAATGTGAAAAGATGCAGCTAAAAAGTTTATAAATCCACATTGTTAATTATCAAAAAACTATTCAAAATACTTAAATGAATCTTATAAACCATTCATAAAGTGTTTTTTTAATTGATAATCCGCCAGTCAACAGAAGAATAAACATAGTATAACATGATGCAAATCACTATATAAATCCAATATAGTGTGAATCTGAAAAATTACTACTGTTCGTCCAAAGAAACCATTTTTTAGTACTAAGTTAATCAATTTTGTAAATTAATTGAAAGTTATAGAGCTCGTCCTTGCAGTTCTAATGGTGGTTAAATCATCCAAATTGGCCTAGTAGATGCTGAGATATCTTTAAAAAACGCGTCAATGACTATATAAAATCTTTATGTAAACAATATATTGTTTACATAGAGATTTTATATAGTTGTTGACAGATTTTTTAAAGATATCTCAGCATTCACTGGGCCGATTTGGGTGATTTAACCACTATTAGAACTGCAAGGATGAGCTCTACAACTTTCAATTAATTTACAAAATCGATTAACTTAGTAC